TGGCGTGGGCGTGGGCGCTGCTGGCGCGGGCTGAGAGCGGGTGCGCGGGCCTGGGCGCGGGTGCTCGGGCCTGGCGTGCTTCCTAGGGAAACATGACTTAGAAATTATTTCTAAGTGTTCGGTTTGACTACGGTTTGACTTCGGCTCGGTTTGATCGACTTGCGAAAAATAAGTATCAACTCTTGGTCTGGTTTATTCAGTTTAAACCAAAAATTCAAACAAATTAATTTAATTAATTCTAGCGAGGCATTATATCATCTTAGGACAATATAATATGATGGCTTAATCGAGCAATATAATAAGTAATCCAATATAAATAAATACCAAATAATCATATAAAATCCAATAATCGAACGGGGCGCGATAGTCTACCCACCTTTAAAGGAACTCCGTCCTTGAAATTCGAAAACAAACAACTAGAATACGATAGAATACAAAGGGGAAAAATAAAAACATGAAGTTCAGATATCTCCTCCTAATATTGACCTCAGTCTACCAAGTCGCCTCAGATCGTGTTGTCGGCTCCACTGCACCTTGACAAGACTCACTAACCAGTTCCTCAGCTGATGAACCTTCTGGTCCAGTACGGCTACCGGTACCTCCTCATAGGTAAGGTCTCGCTCGACCTGTATCTCGCTGAAGTCCACCACGTGCTCGGGTTATGCACGTATGTACGCAGCATCAAGACATGAAACACGTCATGCACACCCGATAACTATGGCGGTACAGCTAGCCGATATTCCAAGTCTCTGACTCGTGCAAGGATCTGAAAGGGCCCAATATAGCGAGTTTGAAGCTTCCCCTTCTTCCCGAAGTGAACCACACCCTTCATGGGTGCGACCTTCAGGAAGACAAGATCGCTAATCTCATATTGATGTTTCTGCCTCTTCCTGTCAGCGTAGACCTTCTGCCTCTTCTGGGCAGCCTTGACCCTCTTCCGGATCTCATCAACTTCTTACGAAGTCCTACGAATGAACTCTGGACCCATGATCTTTCTCTCTCCGACCTTATCCCAATATAAAGGAGTCCCAACCTTTCGCCCGTACAAAGCCTCGTACGGTGCCATCTTGATCGAGGTGTGATAATTATTGTTGTAGTTCAGCTCGGCCAATGGCATTGAACTCTCCCAAGTTAGGCTCCGGTATAAGACCACATTCCTCAGAATATCCTCCAAAGTCTGGATCGTCTGCTTCGACTGACCATCCTTCTCGGGGTGATAGGCAGTGATAAACTTCAACCTCGTCCCCATGGCTTGGTGCAAACTCTTCCAGAATTGACCCGTGAACTTTAGGTCTCTATCAGACACAATATCCACAGGCACTCCGTGGAGTCGAACAATCTCATCGACGAACAGTTCGGCATAATCACTAGCCTTCATAGTCGTCCTGACTGGCAAAAAGTGGGTAGACTTCATGAGTCGATCCACGATCACCCATATAGAGTCGTGACCGGCTCTTGACCTCGACAATCCCACCACGAAGTCCATAGTGAGGGGCTCTCATTTTCACATGGGAATATCAAGTGGGTGCAACGATCCTCTCGGCTTCTGATGCTGAGCCTTCACTTGCTGACACACCAGACATTAGTTCACTAACGCTGCCACTTACCTCTTCATTCCACGCCACCAAATTGAGAACCTAGCCCTTGCTGAGATTTAGAATTTATTAAGACGCCGTGGGACAAGTCTTCGTGAGTACGAGACTATGCTGTTTCCGAATAGGGACAACATTGATTCAAGTTCGAATGGTCTAATTTTGGATGAATTGAATTATGATCTAAAGGCCCTCGCTGTTGAACACGAAACGCTTCTTAAGAAAATGACAACCGAACAGAGGAGTGTCTACACAAGAATTATGTTCGTTGTTGAATCCGACCAAGGAGGGCTTTTTTCTGTATATGGTTATGGTAAAACAGGGAAAACGTACCTATGGAGGACTTTATCTACTGGTTTGAGATCCAAAGGCAGTATAGTCTTATGTGTCGCATCCAACGGAATAGCATAGCTTTTGTTGCCAGGTGGACGAACAGCGCATTCTTGATTTGCTATACCATTAAATCCCCACCAGGAATCTACTTGCAACATCAATCACGCAAGCCCTCTCGCGGAATTGATAATTCGTTCTTCTATAATAATATGCGATGAAGCACCAATGATGCACAAACATTATTTCGAAGCAGTACAGACATCGATGCAGGGTATTATGGGAGCAATTGATCCTTTGAACCTCAATAAACCATTTGGTGGGAAGCCGGTTGTTTTTGTAGGAGATTTTTGACAAATCCTTCCTGTCATTCCAAAGGGTAGCCGTCAGGACATAGTCAATGCTGTCATTAATGCTTCTGACATATGGCGGAGTTGTACTGTGCTTAGGCTTACGAAAAAGATACGCATTCAAGGACTTGCTAATTCGGATGAACGTGATGAGCTTGCACGGTTTGCAGATTGGATAACCAACATCAGAGATATAGACATACCCGAAGACATTTTGCTTCAGCCTTATGATGACCCTTTTGCTCAAATCGTTGAAAGCACATATCCAATGTATAAGGAGGCGTCCGACGATCCAAGTTATTTGAAGGATAGGGCTATATTACCGCCGACGTTGGATGTGGTCGAGTCTATCAATGTGTACATGACATCATTGAATTTGTTGGATGGTCGTATGTACTTGAGTTTTGATAGTATGTTCAAATCGGATTCTAATAATGATTTTTTATCTGATCTCCATACGCCTGAGTTTTTGAATAGTATCAAGTGCTCCGGAATACCGAACAATGAGTTGTATTTGAAGATTGGAACTCTAGTCATGTTGTTGCGTAACATGGATCATTCTATGGGTTTGTGTAATGAGACACGATTGGTTGTGACAAAATTATCCACTCATGTTCTTGAGTGTAAGATACTCATAGGAGATCATGCTGGTGATACGGTGTTGCTTTCAAGAATGACTCCTTCTGATGTTAGAATTCCTTTCAAGTTCCGGCGGAGGCAGTTTCCCATTATGGTTTCATGACTATAAGCAAGAGCCAGGGATAACCATTATCTCATGTTGGCTTATTTTTTAAGAAACAAGTGTTCAGCCATGGCCAGTTATATGTTGTTGTCTCCCGTGTCACTAACCGAGAGAGTTTGAAAATCTTAATTTGTGGCGAATCTGACGTGCCAAAGAATCCAACCAATAATATTGTACTTAGGGAAGTGTTCAACAATATATGATCTTTTTAGTTTAATTATATGTTTATATGTCTATTTTTATGATCATGATCATTTTGTTATTACACAATTTATATACAAAATTGCCTTCTAAAAAGCTCACAAGTCGTAATATCCCTGTGCATCGCACAGGTGATTACTAGTGGAAATAACACTAACACTTATAATTTACTAATTTCATAATAGTATTAAATATTATTTAAGAAAAAATTATATCGGTTAGATTTTGTCCGGTTTGAATCGAACCTTCATAGGTCAGTACTGACATCGAATCGAGTGATTTTCGATAACCGCTAATCGGTTACCATTATAAATTACTCGGTACGATTCAATTTTTTTCTTGTCAGCTCTGTTCGATTTTTCAGTTTTTGGTAAAAAAAGCCACCCCTAGTATTATTGACATTATTATAATATGTACATAACTATAAACAAAAATTGGGTCATGTCGAGGTGGTCGAGCATGGGCGGCTAGGCCGAGACATGATTTAAGACCCGAACCTAGCCCGCTCAGCTAACAGGCGGACCTGACCTCATCCGTTCTGAAAGAGGGGTAGATTTTACCTGCCTCAATGCTATAGGCCAGACCAAGTAAAGAAACATCTTAAAATTATTTGATTAACACGAGATGTTCGTTCGAACTCATTCGAGCATGAAAAAAAATAATAAATAAAAATAATTTCATACTTTAGATTTTTTCTAAATATTATATATATAAGGGTAGCTTTTTCCCATCCGAACTATAACGGTTTTGGCGCATCACCATATAAACTATTTTTTTTACAAACCACCATATGAACTATACGGGTTTGTCAATATGCCCCCTAAACCGAATATAAAAGTGGTTTAGGGGGCACATTGACAAACCTGTGATAGTTCATATGGTGGTTTGTAAATGTATTTAGGGGGCACATATGGTGACCAAACAATTTTTTCAGTCAAAACCACTTTTATATCTGGTTTAGGGGGCACATTGACAAACCCGTATAGTTCATATGGTGGTTTGTAAAAAAAATAGTTTATATGGTGATGCGCCAAAACCGTGATAGTTTGGATGGGAAAAAGTATTTTACCCTATATAAATATAAAAATAAAATAAAATTATATTAAATTAATGTTGTTTGTCCCATTTTTGTTGCGTTTTTCGTCATTATTTTTCCTTTCTTTTTTCCCCATTTTATGTTTTTTCCTTTGATTTTGGTCCGTTTTGTTTCTTAATATGTGTTTTCTTCTTTTTAGAGTCTTCATGACTTTCTTTTTTGTTATTTTCTTCGATTTCTCTGTTTTTTTTTTCGTTTTATGATGTGCAAGTTAGGTACCTCGGTTGATTATCATTTTATGAAAAATATTTTTGGCGAACTTAATTCGTAGAGGGATTCGTCGACGTCACATAGGAAAGTGCGGAACTCCATTCCGAGCTTGAATGAATTCAAACGAGTCTCAGGCATAAAACCATGCAAATCAACCGATAGCTAGCCCCAAGCTCGTGTCATGTCGGTACACGGCCGGCAGAGACGCAGCCTCAACACCCTTCACCGTCGTACTCACGAGCGTGCAAAACGCGTCAACGGAGGCTACCTGTTCCAGCTCTTCTTCTCCACGACACACCTTCTTCTCCAACAATGCTAGGACAGCCCCACCTTCACGACAGCAGTCCTCCTCCATGGTGCGCAACACTTTCTTCTTCACGGCGCGAGAACAAAGCTCCAGCCCCGGCAGTCCACCTCCGCCGTGAATCTTCGACCAGAACTCGTCCAAGATCTCTGGCCACGCCGCTGTTTTTCCTCACGGCGCGCCACCTCGAGCCTGCAACTAGCCGCGACAGACATTTCTCTCACGCCGCTGCAAGATAGCCACGCCGTGCTACAACTCCTCTTCACGCTGCGACAAGGGCCCACGCCATGAAACAGCCGCCCAAAATTGCCTCTGTCGCGCCGCGAGTGTCCCCCGCGCCATGAAATTACCCACCGCCGCGCCATGTTGATTTGCCGCGCCACGGCGACCTTCCACGCCGTGCCATTCCACACGCACGCCCATGTTTCTCTCTCGCGGCCGTGACTCCTCCTTCGCGGCCGCGACGATCAAAAGGGACCCCAGTTTTTTCGACTTCAGAGAAGAAATTTCGCAGCCTCGGAGAGCAGCCACGGCCGCAAGACTTACATCACCGCGACCTCCAGATAAGTCACGGCCGCGAACCTCCCGACAACAGACTTTTAATATCAGATTTTTTTTTGGCGAGGGAGGATCTTATGTTCTAGGTTTTGGAAGCTTTTCTCTCGTTTTTTTTCTTCCAATTTGTTTTTATTTCTTTCTTTTATACTTTTGATCGTAGAACTCGAATTTGAAGTGGATTTCGTCGTTGTTTTTGGGATTAATCGTGTTTATCAAATTCAACCGTGAGAATTATCAATCCTAAGATTTCTTTTATCTTAATCATTAATTATGAAATCTTGGGTTGTGATGATTATTTTTGTTGAATGTTCAATTATGAATAGCTAAATCATTATGCTAGGGAATAGGGGATGATGTTTTGATTTCGTTTGTGATTGTCGGGCTTGAGATTGTTCAATTTGTGCGAGTTAATCTGTCACTAGGGTTTTTTCGATCATTGTTCTCGAATTCTGCGAATTGTTGAAGGGTGACACTTCAACGTCCAATTATTTTAATTGATATCGTTTAATTCGTGCTAGATTCTAAAAACTTTAATCAGACTAGTCGATTAATCATCCTCTAGTTCAATTTAATTGACTCTTAGAACCGAAAGGGGAGGAGTCTGTCGAAATAGCTCGTATGAACTAGGCTTGTTCGTAACTGTATTGCCTAGGCGTTAAATGAATTGTCAACTTGTCATTCAAGCTTGTTTTTTTGTTACGAAAAGTTATTGAGAACAAATACTTGAATGATAGGTTATTCAAATCAATTAGCTGAATAATCACTTGCCCATTAATTGCATGTCAAACCAAAACTGATATCTCCGACTCCCTAGCTCCTTAAATCTTGTTAGTTCTACGTGATAATTTTGCTATTTCAATTTGCTTTATTTTAATTCTAGTAGTTGTTAATCTAAAAACCAATCCCAATTTCTGAATTAGTTTGTCTAGGTATTTTATTTCTTTTTTGTGTGATTGAATAAACGCGCATTTTATTCCGGCTAACCTTCATTTGAGACACGACCCGGTGTTTGAATCTTTCGATTCTACTCCGAAAAAATATTTACGACAAATGTTTGTGAACATTATTGAACATTTGCGAACAAGCTTGGGTTTGTTCAATTCCTAAACGAACCTAGTTTTATGTTCAATCTCAACTTGATTAACAAAAGAATGAGTTGTTATTGAACACCAATGTGGCCGAACAAGCTTTTGCTCATGTATGTTCAGTTCGTTAACAAATTTTAGCTACTTTAAATATATTGTTTGCAGTTTGATTTAAAAAGATAACGTTAAAAATGACAATATTAAAAGCACTCTTAAAAATTTTATCATCATATGATTTAAAAAAGTCGATACTTTTGTAAATGAGTAAAATTTAATTTCATTTTTTAAAAATAATGTCATATTAACTATTACTGTGACAATTTTTTAAAATTTCATTATATAATTATAATTTTTAAAACAGTTGGTTATATTGTTATTTTTTTTAACGCTTTTTAAGCAAGGTCACACTATTTAGTTTTAATTATATTTTTTTGAAAGAGCCATTAAATTTATGTTGGTAAATAAGGCGACACATTTTTAAAAGTGATGTTGCCATATAGATACGTATTGTAGAGATATGTTTAATTATATAAATACATATTTTAGAGACATGTTTTCATATAGATACAAATAACAACACTTTTGTATAAGCGTAAAATTCAATAACCATTTTAAAATAATGAAACCATGTTGTAAAATAATGCGACACTTGTTCACTACCTAAATAATTGTGTTTTTCTTAAGTGTTGTTATATGCTTAAAAATGGTGACACAATTGTATAAGTGTCATAACGTAATTACATTTTGAGGTAAATGTTGTCATGTTAGTAAAAATTGTGACATTTTTTAAAAAAGTGTTATTATTTTAATACAGTTTTCAAAATGTGTCGCCGAATAACTAAACATGACGACACTTTTATATAAAATGTCTCAATTTAATTACACTTGTAAATAAATGTCACAATACTGGTTAACACAATGACACTCTTTAAAAGTGACATGATTTGATTACACTTTTTAAAAAGCGTCACAAATATATCAATTCTAATTACACTTATTAAAAAGGTCATCATATTTATGTTGTTAGAACTCTTTTTTAATGTAGTTTTTAGTGTTATAGGGTAAAAAGGAAGTTTTTTTGATGGGTCAGTGTAAGAAAGTGCATGTATATTGGAGCGTAAAAAAAAATTGCCATAATATTAACTAATCATTATTTCCAATAATTCATCTGTTACTTTTATATCACATCAACTTTATTAATTATATTTTAAATATTATTTAAATACAAACTCAATTTTCCACTTAAATCAAACTCAATCAATTTTTTTTTCAGAATTGAATTGAACTCATTTTTTCCAATCAATTCAACCAATAATCCAAAGTAACTTGTATTCAATCTGCCCCATTAGTGTACTGAGTTATTATTAATGTGTTAGTAAGGTAAACCATGAGTAGTAGCGCCCATGTTAAGGCACAACAAGTGATAGTAGGATCAAACCTATCCTATTAAGATGGAGATGTTAAAATGATAACTACTTTTACTAAAGAAAACATTATTTAGCTCTCTAGAGCCTATCCAAACCCCCAAAATGATAAAAACTCTGGATTTAGTAGAGTTATGGGGAGAAGATTGATTCAACACTTAAACTGCAGTACTAAAGTTGCAAACAGAGCCATTTTTCTGGTTGCCCG